GTCCTAAGGTATGTGCGTTTTGAGTTTTATGTGATGCTGCCCAGTTGCTCTCCAAAGTGTTTGTATATTCCCACTCTCACGAACAATGAACGAGTCCCCATTTCCCTATGTCTTTGTCACTTGTTCCCATTCTTACTGTTCTCTTCCTTTGGATCTCTTTTAGCTGTATATTGGGTATTTTCATTTTATCCTTCCTGTTTCTTAGCCTCTCTTATATTTTCCTTCTCTTTGTCAAACTGTGCTATAGTCTGTGTCTGTATTGTTTCACTTTCTCATCAACTGCATCTCCTGAGGTTCCAAGAGCATGAATAGGTTACCTGCCCTTCCCTGGAAGCCAGAGTGCCACAATGCCTCCATGGAAGCTCTGTCCAGCCAGAAGTCCCCCAGGAGAGACCTTCTGGCTGTATCCAGAGCAATAAGCTAGGCAGAAGAATTCTGCCTAGAGTCTAAGTCTCCTTTGTATTTCTCCTACCTCGCTGAATTTGTACTGAATTACAGAGCTTACAGTCCAACTTGGTCAGGGCTCGTTCCTTATCTGTGCCTGCAGAAATGGAACTGCAAGCCTCCACAGATCCCCAAGAGAGGTTAAGGTCCTCAGTGACTGAGTCAAGGCAATAAGAACAGAGACAAAAGCCGGGGTCATGGTGCAAAGGTGGCCAAGAACCCTGCTACATCACAGTGAGATCTGGGCTATGTCTCATCTTTCTAGGATTCAGTTTCCTCATTGGAAGAACGGAGTGATCTTGAAGTGAAGAAGGCATATCTCTGAACATTTTGTTGTTTGTCAAGCCAAGGGCACTAAGACAGAATAAAGACAGGCGATTTTGAAGCAGTTTGGATGCTAGTTACATGTAATGGGAAATTAAGAATATTTAAAGATTAATTTCTAGAGCGGTACCATCCACAAGGCAGAATAGTGCATACGTGGTTCATATAAATGTGCTCGTACCTACAGTTTCAGCTGTTATAGAATAGCTTGTAAGAGAGATTAATGGCAGACTTATAAACGGTACCGCCTTGATCCAGATCTTCACTATCGTGACTGGGCCTTCTGAATAGCCTCCTAACCGCTCTCTTGCCCAACTTAAATCCATTCCTCACACTGCAGTTACAACGTCACTGATCCACAAGGAACTCTGCCCCGATCGAATGAGCAGAGCCAGCTTGAGTGCAGTCGAATAAGAGAATCCCGCAGTGCTAGCGCTCGTCCAGGGTGGCCTGTGGCTTTCTCCGCCCCGTGCCATGGCTGAAAGTCGGTGCCGCCGTAGGCCCCTCGGAGAGCAGGCAGCCTCCTCCCCGCAGGGGTCGGCCAGGGACCAGGAACAGAAGACGGGGGAAGGGCGCGAGGCTTAGGGGAGAGGACGCGCAGTTCCCCGCGGGGAGCGCCGGGCGGTGACGCACTTCCGGAGCGCCCCGCGCCCCCGCCGGAGGTGAGTGTGGGCCGGGAGGCCCGGCTTCCGCGTCTCAGGCGGGCGGCGCCTTTGATTCCTGGGGCCTCCCTGGGACGCGGCCCGGGGCCCGGGAGAGGGAGGCCGTCCTGCCGAGGGCAGTCCCGCCCTTCCCAGCCTCCTTCACGCCCCGGGGGCGGCCGCTTTGGGACGTGGGGGCCGAGGATGTGGGCCACCGGTGGAAGGTGTGGCACCGGGTGCCAGTTTAGTCTGTTACCCTATCGAGTGCCTGCCAAGTGCAGTGTTGTTGCAAGTTCCGGGGATGCAACTGTGAATGACGCAGGGAACTTTCAGCCTAATGGGAAAGTCGATATCAATCAAGTCTGATCATACCTCGGCCCCTGCACATAGTAACCCATTGTTTTAGGGCAGAAGACCAACGTCCTAAACGTTCACGGGCCTCTGAGGCCTGACGTCTTACAGTGTCTTGACCCTTCGTCTTGCCGCGCACCCCCCTTGGCTCTGCTTCAGCCACCTTGGCATTGTGTTTCTATAACAAGTGGTTCCTTCGGTAAAGATACTCCTTTGGCCTAGTTAGTTCCTTTTTTTAGGTTTCCCTCGACAAAGGGCCCCCCCCCCCCCCCCCCCCTTCTGTGGCACAGGTTACTTTTTGATGGGTTTTCAGACCACCACAAATGTCTTTCCAGCACTGAGCACAGTTGTAACCTCACACTTACTTTAGTGCAAATTACACGAGAACAAGAATTTTTTCCCCTCGGTGTTTGAATCCCTAGTGCCAACCATATTGCCCTGCAGAGTATACCTCAATAAATATTGACTGAAGAGGCAAATATGTTTATAATTACAGTGTGAGCTGCCTGGTATAAGGACAGAGACTCTGACTTTACTTGAATCTTCCAGGATGTGTTTTCTAGTTTGAGATCTGAAGGGTGAAAAAGAGTTAATCAGTTAAAGAAGGGGCAAATTGGGAAAGGCTGTTAGAGGCAGAGGGAATAGCAGGTGCTGGGATCCTGAGTTGGGACCCAGCCAGCCATTTAATACTTGCCCTGTGACATTTATTCTAATTCAAAAATTAGTAAATATATTTCCAGTAAGAAAATTGGAGAAATATCAAAATGGCCACAAAGAAAAAATAAAAGTCATCAATAGACTACCACTCAGAGATAAATACTGAGTTTTAAAAAATTTACGTCCAGTAAGTGGTTTTGTAGGTATTTTTAAGTACACGTGATTTTCATGTAATTGAAGGTTGAAATACAAGTAGTTTTATAATCATTTTTTCACTTATTGCATTTGAGTATTTTCCTGTGTTTTGAAACATTCTACAACATGATTTTTAATGGCTGCCTTATTTTTTTCTCATTTGTACCAAACTGTTGGATGTTTAAGTTTGCATCATTTTTATATTAGAAATAATGGCAATGAATGCTTATGAGCAGAAATCTTTGAGCACGTCTCCAATAAATTCCTTAAGTTGGAATCTTTGAAAATTGGTTTTAAATTTTAAGTTCTTAAACAAATTTAAACAGAACTATATGTATGTGGTAAGAAAAAGAATTACCTAAGACTGTGTGGTAAAAAAAGAAATCTCCCTCTATTTGGACCCTCGTGTCCATTATCCGGAGGTAACCGCCAGTAACAGTTTTCTACTGTATGAGAGCAAATCATGTACAACGGAAGTTGGCATTTTATACTTAACAGTATAGATAGGAATATACTTAGGCAGGTATTTGTGCTCAGGAGAAGATGTAACAATTTACACTCCTACCAGCAGATATTGGGAGTGTATGATTTTAAAAGTATATTTTCTCCAGTATAAAGAATATTTTTTTAAGTTCCCAATTTGACAGATAGAAAAATGACATTTTATTGTTTTAATTTGCCATCTTATATATACTAGAGAGTAAACAGCTTTTCATGTGTTTATTGGCCATTTATAGGTGAATTCCCTATTAATAATATTTTCTCCTAGGGTGTCCAGCTTTTTCTTACTGATTTTGTAAGGATTTGGGATATTAACTATTTTTGGCATGTGTTATAGATTTGGTTTCCTAGTTTGCCTTTGAGTTTTCCATAATCTTTTAAACCAGGAGTTTAAAAGTAATTTGTCATTCTGAGTGTTTTCTCTTTGCTTCTTTGTCCTTTGGCTTGTGGCCTCCCCACTGGGCTGGAACTGCTCTTGCTAGATGTCTCTGCACCCTGGGATGGAGACTTGTTACCTTTGTTTTCTTTTAATTTCTCTCTGGTTTTGTTTTTCACATTTAAAATTTTAGAGCATATGTAATTTATTTCAGTGTATGGTAGGAGATAAAGAATCTAATTACGTATTTTGTCCTTAAATAGTTAACCCGTTGTTCCAGTGTCATTCATTGAATAATCAGTCCCTTTTCCCCCCTGTTTGGAATGCCATCTTTATGATGTACTTGATAGTTTAGTCTCTCCTGGGTTTTAGATTCTGTTTTATTGTTGTAGTGATCTGTTCTTGTACCAGTCTGCTTTATTTGTTATACATTTAGCATCTGGCATTGCCAGTTTTTTCTTTCCTATTTTCCCTTTTTATTTAAATGTTCATGGCTGTTTTGACTAGTTATTCTTCCATATAAGCTTTTGAATCATGTTACCAGATTTCTAAGTAAATTCTTTTCAGAATTTGCTTGAAAGTAATACTGGTTACTTGTTAAGAGTATGGCTTTTGGAATCTGGCCAACTTGGCTTGAAATCCAAGTTTGGCTTAAAATCCAAGTTTGACCATCGACTCATTGTGTGAACTTGGTGAAGTCTCTTAAACTCTTAGCTTCCGTTTTACTCATCTGTTTAGAGAGTAGGGTGAGGGAGTTAAAACCTAAATCTCGTTTAAAGGAATGTTGTGAGGACTAAAGGAGAAGATGTGTATAAAGCATTTAGCGTAGTGCTGAGCGTGCACAAACTCTTAATAAAAGGAAATTACTATTAAATTTGTAGATTAGTTTGGAGGAAAGTCGACATTAACAAAAAATTTAATATTGGTTCCTTACATCCAGGAACATGTTTTGCCTTTTCATTTATGTTTCTCAGTAATACTTTATAATTTTCTTTATATAGACTTGGTATGTTTCTCATTAAATTTATTACCTGTTTTTTTTGTTTTATTTTGCTTTTGTTTATATATATTTTTGCCCTACTGTATTGTTTACCCAGGAGAGAGAGCACTACCTAGTGGTTATTAATACAGATCTTGTGGCCTAAGATAATTACTTAAACTTTCTAAGTAATTTCCTTTCTAAACTCATTTCCTTGTTGTGATAAAATGAGGACAATAGTAGTATGTATCTCCTAGTATTATAATGAACGTAAAGCACTGAGCTCTGAAGCTGGCACTGTGCAAGCCTTCAATGAATGTCAGCTGTTTTTATTAGCAGTTAATACAGATTTGCAGGTTTAAAGGAAAGTCATTGACTGAGCCAAGCTCGCTCTTGGTTCTCTTTGTTTTTGTTTCTTCCCTCAGCCCCTGCCCTTCACTGAGAGGGAGCCCAGTGATGGCAGCCATGCCCCTGGAAGCTTGGCACCAGGTGAGCTGTGGATCCCTCAGGTCAGCCTTCGAGAGATCTGATTTGAAGGAAATGGGGGATGAGAGGAGTGATTCTGGCAAAAGTCTTAGAGCCAAAGCAGCTGTTCATCCCCCTCAGTGGGACTGGATGCTGGGGAGAGAGAGCTGATGGTGACTGAGCAGCCAGAGACTGGAGGGCCCAGGAGGTGACACCTGGAGAGAGTGTCCTGGGAAGCAGAGGTGCACCCTCTTGCACTCTGAGGATCTCTGCTCAGCTGGAGGGTCCCCAGGTCCAGTAGCTCCCCCCACAGAGGGATCTGTGAGGATGAGGGACTCAGGCTGGTGGTGTAGGTATCTAGTGTCAGTGGGAGTGATCGAGATCAACAAGGTCACAAGATTCTTGGTAAGTGGGGGCAGAGATACAGTAGGAAGAAGACAAGAAAAAAGGGGCCTATACCACTTGTCTTCCAAAAAAGAGAGCAGAAGTTGGGGGCTCAGGGTCAGTGAGGGAAAGAATTGGTCCAGGAAGGGTACATACATATCTTTTTTGAGAGTTATTACTTCTGGTTGAGGGGAACAGCATCCTGCAATATGAAACTTGGTACTAGGTGGCAGGAAATTTAATTTCAGATTAGATTTCCCATCAGCCCTCAGTAGTATTGTGGCCTTGAGCCAGTCACTTACCCTCTTTGTGCCTCAGCTGACTTCATCTGTCAAATGGCAGCAGTACTGTTCATTCCCAGGTTAGAGAGAAAGATTTTGCCAAGTGCCTTTCAGCTCTGCAGCCTGCTGGGTCATTGAGTGCTGCTTGTTTGGCTCTGTCTTGAGGCTTCTCTATCTTGCATCTCAGCATCCACAATCTTCTCCCAAGTACGAATCTCAGAATGTCCAATGTCTCTCTACTCCCCTCCCTTAATATCACCCTGCTTGGAAGCCTAATCTCAACACATCAGAGACACAATTTATTGTCGTCCTTGTACACCACTCCCCGACCCCGGCTCCTGCACTTCCTACCAATTGCTGGTATCCCCATGTCACCATCCTGGTCACTGGTTTTAGATTTCTCAATCATTATTGACTCTTTAATCTCCTTGACACCTCAATCCAAGTCCTTTTGTTCCTGTCTCAGTGCCCATTTACCCCTTCCTTTTATGGCTTTCCTAATTTTATCATCCCTCTTCTGGGACATTGTCAACAGAGCCTCCCAGCTATTTCCTTTGTCTCCAGTCTTGGGCCTTCCTGTCATCTGACATTTGTTGCTGATAGAGCTCAGGCTCAGGTTCTTGGATGTAAGTTTGTTGTTGTATGGGGACCATCCATGTGCTTTACCCCACAGAGTTGAGGTCAGGTTGGCATTTTATAAAGATCTTTCTGTGTGTTGGACAGAAAGCAGACTGGAAGATGAGCCTGGAGTTAGGGACTGTTGTAGTGGTCCAAAGGACAGTTGCTGAGGACTTGAGCTATGTGGTGACCTAAAATGATAGTGAGTAGGAGGCAGATCCGAGAAAGGCCCAAGAGAGAAAATTGGCAGGATTTGATTACTGATTCCTTGTCATAACTAAGCAGTGATTAGGGGGATGGGTAAGAATGATTATCAGGTTTCTAGCACAGGAGACCAGGCTGAAAGTGGTGCTACTGACTGAGACAGGGATCAGAATAACAGCCAACATCAGGTTTGAGCACTTACCATTTGTTTCTCCTTGCACTAAGGTTCATATGAATTAGGAGGAGCCAAGGAGTCAGTTTAAGTAGAGAGATGAGTTCAGAATTGGATTGTGGCTCAGTCATGTCAGGAACATAACTGGCATGAAGGTTGCCAGGGCTTCTGGATCATCCATGTGATGGTGCTAACATGTGAGACCTTGGAGTAAAGAGACGGGAGGATCATCACTGCCCAGGGAAGACACCAAGTTGGTGAGAGGGACTGGATCATAGTGCTTTCTGGGAAGGGAGAATTGGGGCTGGCAGGCAGGTTTGGTTTGCAGAAGACAGATTATCTGGGAGGTGGAAAGAGACACAGCCAGAGAGCTGCTAGCAGCCATTAGAATCAGGAAGCACCTTCTCCTAAGAAGACCATCTGGAGTTGAGTAGGTGGTTCAGGCAGTAGAGTTTCCTCTGCTGGAGGGGCTCGAGCAGAGGCAGCACAGCCCCTTTTGTTGGGGCGGAGTGGCGGGTGGCACAACAGAGTTCAGGCATCAGATGAGGGTTTCATGGGATAGAGGCCCATGTGGACAAACTGTGACTCTGTTCTCAGTAAGTGGGATAGGGCGGGTAGATGTGGACACATAGCAGGGCTTACTTTTAGTGCAGGGAGCAGAATGGATGGGCCAGGCCCTTGTCAGTGAAGTGGGGACAGGCAGCAGCTAGTTCCTGAGATGTCACCAGTGAGAAGGGCCGTCAGAGGCCAGTCATCTGTTCATGGAGAGTCTCAAAGACTGGAAGGGCACATGCAAAAATGACGAGGGTTTGCTTCAAGAAGGTGAATTCATGAAAGACCTTCCCTGTTCCAACTTTTCTATAATGTGGCCTTTCCTTTTGTAGTAGAAAATCTTGTGTACAAGTAGAAGCTGCTCTGATAGTGAAAGGAGTGTCAGATTTGATGGTCATACGTGTAGTCATTCACTGGCTTTCAAGTCCATGTCCGTTCACCCTTTCTTCATTTCCCTGTTGTCACAGGACGCTTCCTCAGCCCTCACACTGTCCTCTGTGCCCCACACTCTGGCACTGAGCCAGAAGATTGGCTCTGGGGCAGCAGGAACCTCTTATTTTAGGAGGTGGTGACCTTCAAGGATGTGGCTGTGTACTTCACCCGGACAGAATGGGCTGGCCTTTCTCCTGCACAGAGGGTCCTGTACAGGGAAGTGATGCTGACAAATTATGGAAACTTGACTTCCCTAGGTAAGGCCACTTTGCCTTTGGGACTCAGACTCATAGGACAAGGGTAGGGGTGGCATGTAGCACGAATTTCATAACCTTCTGCGTATTTCCAGGGGCAAAAACTCCTAATTCCTCAGTCCCAGAGGATATCAGGCAGGGAGGGAGGGAGGGAGAAGCCTGAGATTGGTTCAGGTCTAATGTGGGTTCAGCTGTTCTGGTGAGAACACTTCCCACCATAAGGGGCTCTGTGCAGGGCACAGTGGGAGAGAAGTATCTTGCTGTTTAAGTTACACATTTTTTCAGCTCTCTCAGTGGTCTAAGGCAGACTTTCATCATTCCTTCCCTGTGCTTGTGTGTGTCATAGGATCTCAATAATAAACTCCAAGTGACCTTTTAGGAAGAGGTCACAAATGCTCAGTTTTCTCTTGATTAAAATCTCCTTGGGCTTCCCCATCCTCCAGCCCACTACTGCGGGCCATATTTTACTGAGCTACTTTGGGGTTTCCTCCTCTGACACTGACAGTGCAGACACAGGGCTACAAGGTGCCCTAGGAATGCTAACATGAGACTCCCCGCCAGCGCCATGTTCTTCCTCCTTTTCAGGATCCCCAGTCTGCAGACTTGCCCTGATCTCACTTCTGGAGGGAGGGGATTTGCCTTGGCTCCTGGAGGCACAGGGTGACCCACCTGTGAAGAGGACCACAGATGTCTCAAAAGGTAAGTGAGGCAGGTTTAGAACCAGCAACCACAATCCTTTGTTAGATACATGGTTTACGAGTTTTTGAGCACTTGCCATGTGCCAAAACGGCACTTCTTTGTTTAAGAAGCTCTGGAGGATACTAGCTCTAGAGACAGATGTAGAGCTAAAGAGGAGAGAATGTGTTAAGTGCTGTTGTTGGTTTATAGGCAATGGGCTGTGGGAGCACGACAGAAGGAGGGCTGAGAACAGTTCCCATTTAGAGGATCCAGTAATGCTCCTTCAGTGGCAGGCCATTTGTTCTGAGATAAGAATGGATTGCAGATGGGAAAAAAAGGAAGATAGTCTGACTGGAGGGAGGGAATAAAAGATCGAGTATAATTTCTGCATAATATAATATCTAACAAAAGACAACTATCTGGAATATGTAAACAGCTCTCAAAACTCAATAAAAACAAACAATCCAATTAGAAAATGTGCAAAACGCATGAACAGACATTTCACCAAAGAGAATACACAGATTCCAAGTAAGCACATGAAAAGATATTCAACATCATTAGCCATCAGGGGAAAGCAGTTTAAAACCACAATGAGATATCACTACACATTAATCATATATATTGCTATGTAATTGTGAAGAGCTTCTTGGTTTGTGTGTAGGAAAATTGCCTGGGAGTATATTTTAAAATGGATATATCTGGGGCCCACCTGCCAGCATTCATTTTTCTGTCTTTTTTAGTCAGCATTCAAGAACATGAAGCTTAGGATTGGAAGCCTAGCAGGACTCTCTTTTCTCTACTCTGTGATGTTAACATAGTAGCTACCAGCTACATGTGCTTATTAAACTCTCAAGCACTTGAAGTGGGGCTGATTCAAATTGGGATGTGCTGTAGGGATAACATACCAGATTTTTGAAGACTTAGTACAAAAAAAAAATGATCTCGTTAATAATTTTTATGTTGATTTCATGTTGAAATGATAATATTTGGTATATTTGGTTAAATAAATTACTAAAATTAATTTCACCATTTTCTTTTTCACTTGCTCTACTACAGAGCTTACCCTTAAGTCACCTTACTTAGCCAACCATGCACAACCATCCTTAGTGTGTGTGCGAAGCCTAGAACACAGAGGTTATGGGAAATCTGAAGAGTTCTGTCCTAGGGAACTTACAGCCTGGGGACAGGAAATGAGAGAGCAGTGACCCCAACCTCAGTGACCTTGCCCCTAGTGACATCAGCCCATAATTGCTATGTTTTAGAAATAGTGACTCAACATAGTATGTAACTTGTTTGCACTGAGGGGAAAAACAAGGCATAAAACTCTGTTACGTTCTTCTAAATTGTATTGCAGTTATTAACTTTGAAGGCTTACACAAGGATGGGGACAGAGTGTTGTGAGGATTGTGAAGAGTGTCATGGTAGCATTGACAAAGCTTAGCAGTAAACATATAAATGAGTCAGATAACATAGGAGAGTCATGATAGAAAAACAGTTCTTAGGGTGAAGATGACTCTAGACTTATCCCATGAGGTTTGAGTTTCTTTGGGACACAACTCCCTGGGTATAGCAGGCTGTTGAGAATGCAGCTCTTTAAAGTTGGGACGCGGTTGGGTCTGGAATTACACAGGGTGTCAAAGTCTGGAAACATAGGCAGTCATACATAATGGTGTCAAGGACATCTTCAGTCTATTAAAAAACACATTATATCTGTTTCCAGACTTTATGGTCACCCTGATATGTGGGAGTCCTCTACATCAGTGGTTCTCACCTGGGGTCACTTTTGTCCCCTAGGGGACATTGGCAACGTCTGGTGACATTTTCGGTTGTGCAGACTGGGGAAGTGGGTGCTACTTTATCAGGAATGGTGCTAAATATCCTACATTGCACAGGACAGCCCCCCACAATGAAGGATTATCTGGCCCCAAACGTCAGTAGTGCTGAGATTGAGAAACCTTGCTCTACATAAAGGACGCTATGCAGCCAAAATGTCCCCTGAGTAGAGAAGAGAAGAGGATGGGGAACAGAATCTTAGGGACTACTTAGGGTTAAAGAGAGAGGGAGAAGGAAGTAGAGATAATTAAGACCAGGTGCAGCAGAAGAGAGATGGGTGAAATTGAAGCTAAGAGTGGGAAGATTTTCAAGGAAGATGGTGTGCAGTGGAGAATTTGAGGGGTAAATGGGAAGTGAACATGTTAAGGAAACACTTACAGACCCTTTTTTTGCGAGGTTTAAGAATGAAAGGAAAAAGGGCCAGCCCCGTGGCTGGGTGGTTAAGTTCACGTGCTCCGCTTCGGCCGGCCCAGGGTTTCACCAGTTCGGATCCTGGGCGCGGACGTGGCACCACTCATCAAGCCATGCTGAGGTGGCATCCCACATGCCACAACCAGAAGGACCCACAACTAAAAGTATACAGCTTTGTACCTGGGAGCTTTGGGGAGAAAAGGGAAAAATAAAAATCTTAAAAAAAAACAAACCAGCCAAGGGGAGGAAATACTTGGAGAGAGGGAAAACACATTAAAAAAAAAAAAATGAAAGGAAAGACTGTAAATTAGTAGTTTTAAGGCAATGTTTTGCAAACATTTTTTATTATAACTCGCAGTAAGAAATACAGTTTATGTCACAACCCAATATATATGCTTCTATAAATAATTGAAAACAAAGTTTCAATGCTTACCTTTCCTGTTTGCTCCCCTCTGGAATTTTCTATTGATTATCTATTCAAATCTAGTCTGATTTATTTCACTTGTTAAAAAATTTCTGCTCACAATCCACTACATTTATTTCATGACTCACTAGTGGTTCTCAAACAATTAAAAAGAAAAAAAATAGAAAAGATAAATATCCTCAAGTGGACCTGAATATCTAATGTAAGAGAAAGTTAAAGGTGAGAAGGGAGAAGATGTGCCTGATGGAGCTGCGCCCTGGAGGAATGGGCGAGCTGGCATCATGGTGAGGAGAGGGTGAGCCCTAAAGGGAAGGGGGGAGATGGCATACTACCATGTGGGAGTGGAGAGCGAGGAGTTAAGGAGCACCTGTTGGGCAGCCTTGCTTTTCACAGCAAGGAAGAGGTGATCCTGAGTGGACCATTGGTGAGGGGGCATTTGAGGGTTTAGGAAAAGTGACATTTGCTTGGAAGAACTGCCGTGGGGAACCTGATTAATGTGAATAATAGGAATATAGGGCAGCAGGGAAAGAAGGGGTTTCTTGTCATCTATTATTCTAATCCGGATTTTGTGATATTTCTTGCCAAACAGCAAGGAAAAAGATCTATGAGAATTGAATTCCAAGCTCCCCCTTGTTCTGGTCACTATTTCAGATTGTTATTTACTCTGTTTACTCACAATTTCACCTGTCTCCTTGCTCCTGTTTCCCAATACTTTCCTTCTGAACAAGCCCACTCTCCTAATTCACACATGGAGATCCCAATAGATAACACCCCACCACTATCAATATAGAACTTGGGCCAGCCCTGATGGCCTAATGGTTAAAGTTCAATGCAGTCTGCTTTGGCAGCATGGGTTCAGTTCCTAGGTGCAGAACCACACCACTTGTCTATCAGTTGCCATGCTGTGATGGTGGCTCACATAGAAGAACTAGAAGGACTTACAACTAGGCTATACAACCATGTACTGGGGCTTTGGGGAAAAAACAAAAAGAGGAAGACTGGCAACAGATGTTAGCTCAGGGTGAATCTTGCCCAGCATAAAAAAGAATAAATAAAATAGAACCTATCAGCCATGATGTTATAACACGGATCCAGTTATTTTTGAGCCAAAATAATTTAATTATTGAAGTATATAAGTTGTATGCCATTTATACAGAGTAACAAATAATTATTCAATCATTTATTTGTCATATTTATTTAGTGTCTACCATGTGCCAGGAATTGTTCAAGACACCCAGGATACAGCAGGAAAGAAAACCAAGCCCTCGTTCTCATGGAGCTTATGTTCTAGTGGTTAAAGAGCAAGGGCAGCTAGTTTGTAAAGAAAAGGAAAAATAAACAGATATTGAGCACACAGTTTTACTTTGCAAAAAGCATAAAAATGTTAATATCTGGTTTTAGCATAGAAATGTTTAATTAACAAAAGAGTACAAATTGATAAAGATCAACGCTTGAATATGAAATTGAACTCAAAGTTTTAAAAAACTGAATTGAATTTAAACAAACTTAGTTAAAATGTCATCTAGTCTTTGCAAATATAAATGCCACCGGACAGTCTGTTTCTATTGGCTGTTTCTCACCTTAGGCTACTTTTTCCTCACCATGCAGAGGGGTACTGTGCAGTCTCCTGGGGTTGCAGCAAACTACGCTCTCCCCTTTCTAGGCAGTAGAGCAGACATGTTTGAATCTGACAACAGCACGTCGACTCAACAGTTTCTAACAGTTATAGGGCATACACTCTACTCTTGTTATCCATCAGGGGTTGCCTCTTGCTCTTAGACCCTGTGCCTCTTCCTCCAGTGAGCATTTTCAAGCATTTAAGTACTGTGAAGTCACAAGTTATTAGGGATACATAGGTCTGGGAAAGCTTAGGAAGCAATCATCTGTGTTGGAAAGTATCATGACCTGGGTTCAAAAATCTCATTTTCTGTTCCACCGCTACTATTTTCTGCCTCTGTCATATTTGGCACTTCCAGTTGAATAGCTTTATATTTCTGGCAGGCTACATGGAGGCTGGAATAGTAATCTCTAAAGGCTGTATAATTTCAGTGCTCCATTTTTTCTAGTATAATTCTCAGGTGGCATCTGTCTTCCATTTCTTATATCAGGTGCTGAGATCAACATTGACCATGAATCCACATAACACAGTGAATTTCTGAAGAAAAAGATGTGATATTGTCACGTGGGCTGCCAAAGAGTGATTTTCAGGAAACTGACTTCCCAGAAATGTGAACTGGAGAAGTACCAGGAAATCCCCACAGTGAAAATTGTTAAAAGAAAGGATGAGAGAATCCACTATGCAAGGAAACCCTTCAGATGTGAGGAGTGTGGGAGATGCTTCAACTTTCTTTCT